AAAGCCAGTATGATCGTCATCATAAGGATATGACTTATGAAATTGGCGACCAAGCTTACCTTCGGGTTACTCCTTTAAAGGGTACCCATCGTTTCGGTATCAAGGGCAAGTTGGCTCCTCGTTACATTGGTCCCTTTCGCATTCTCGCTAAACGAGGAGAGGTTGCCTACCAATTGGAACTACCCCCACATCTTTCTCGAGTTCATGATGTCTTCCACGTCTCTCAACTCAGGCGTTGCTTCTCGGATCCTATCCGCGGAGTGGACCACGAAACGCTTGATCTCCAAGATAACCTCACATACCGAGAGTACCCGGTTCGCATTCTTGATCAAGCAGAGCGTGTTACTCGACGTCAGAACGTCAAGTTTCTCAAAGTTCAGTGGTCTCATCATTCCGAGAGAGAAGCTACCTGGGAGCGAGAAGATCGTCTTCGACTGGAGTACCCCGCTTTCTTTCCGTCGACCCCTGAATCTCGAGACGAGATTCTTTCAAGTGGGGGCGAGTTGTCACATCCCTAGTCTGGTATGACTAGACTAGCTAGCTACTTGTGCATCATATTTAAATTTCATTTAAATTTGAAATGAGGATTGGTGGAACCCTCAGAATCATTTTTGAAAATGACCCAAATAAAAATTTCTCCAAAAGGGTCCAAGAAAATGCTCATGTTGCCCTCTGAAAATATTGGACAGAGATAAAAATCAAAACAATATTTTTAGGAGCTCATGGACATTTATTTTTGCCATTTGGATTAATTCAATAAATATTTGCATTGGAAATATATTTCTATATATATGAAATATGGTCCAAAAATTATGCCAATGATAAAAGAGCTCTGGAATAATACCATTAGCCCCTACAAAAATTGGCATAATAAAATTAAATGATTTAATATATTTATTAAATCAAACAAATGTCAGAAAATTAGAAAAGAAAACAGAAAAGGGGAGAGAAACTTACCTGGGCCACTTACCTGGCCCATCTCCAGCTGGCGGCCCAGCCCACCCCCGCTGCCTTCTGTCGTCTCCCTCCTCGGACAGAAGGACGAGGGCGTGTGCCCGACGCTCGCCGGCACGCGCGCGCGCCACCTTCCCCCCTGCTGGCCACCTCCTGCTTCCCCGGACTCCCTCGATGCCCGGACGAAGCCACGCAGCTGCCCCGCACCGCTCTCACTCTCCCTCGCCCTCCTCTTTTCCCCTGCTCTCACTCCCTCTCACCCGAGAACCACCGCCGCCGCCGACGGGCATCACCGTAGCCACCGGCCTCCCCTCGCCTCCCTGAGACGCTTCCCAGCTCCGCCTCGACCCCCTCTACCTCCTCGTCAAGCCACGCACCTCCGGACGCGCTCCATCGCCGACGCCGTTGTCTTCTTCAACACCGACACCGGAGATCGACCTCGCCGCCATCACCGTCGATTCGCCGGACGCAGGACGTCCCCGAGCACACCGGCCTGCTCTGCGAGTCCGCCGTGAGCCCCTCTTCTTTTCCCCTCACCTCTCTCTCTCGCGCGTGCCCTGTAGCCGCTGCCCCGCGAGCGCCCGAAGCCGCCGTCCGCCATGGCCGGCGAGCTCCGTGCCCCCGAGCACCTCCGCCTCGCGTAGATAGCTCGATGTGCTCCTGCTGCCTCGTAGCTACCGCCTGTGCCCTCCGTTCGCTCAAACGCGAGCTGCAGCCCCACGCCCGCGCTATCCCGAACTCCGGCCGCCGCCGCGAGCGTTGCCCCGGCGAGCTCCAGCCTTCCCAGCTCCTTCCCCTGCCACCGTTGGATGCGCACGAGCCCCAGCTCCTCGTAGATGGGCTCGGCCATCGATTTGGTCGCCGGAGCCGCCGTTCCGATCAGCGCCGCCGCGTCTGTGTGCTCGCCGGCGTTGAACTCCGGTGGGATGACGTGGCCGCCATTAGCAGCTAACAGCCCGCTTAATTAACCCCCCCCTGACGCTGACGAGTGGGCCCAGGGCTTAGTCAAAGCTAATCAGCCCGGGTTTGACTCGGGGTTAACCCCAGTGTCACTGACGTGTGGACCCCACACGTCAGGTTTGACCCTGGACAGCCGCGTTGACCCGCTGACGTCGTGCTGACGTCATGCTGGCGCAATAATACGATTTCTGGATTTAATTTAAATCAGGAAATTCCAGAAATTGATTTAAACTTCAAAAATTCATAACAATTCAACCGTAGCTCAGATTTAAATAATTTATATATGAAAAATTATCAGGAAAATGCAATCTTTCCATCTGTACTAGTTTCATGCATGAAAAACCAACTTATACATGCTGAATATGGGAAAACACATTATGGCATATTAAGAGACTTAATTTAGTAATGCATTTGAACCTTTGGTTCAAATGGACTTCAAACCAAATGTTTACTAGTTGCATTAGCTCAACAGCATCACATCTACATGCCATGTTCATGCATCATATTGTTGCATATGATTGTGTATTGATTGCCGGCACCGTTCCTTCTCGATAGGTCCTGCTCCGGAAACGTTCCAGAGTACCTGTCTGTGAAGCAGTGCCTCCCTTGTTGACTTACCAGGCAAGCAACCCCCCCTTGTTCATTTCGATAAAACCCTACTCTCTCGCTCCTGCTCTCAGTTATTGCATTAGGACAACAACGATTCATCTGCTACTTTGTGCTGCGGTAGTTGAACCCATTCCTCTGCATGACCTGTCATTGCCACAATAAATAGTTGAAACCCACTAGCATGTGTAGGAGTTGATTGAAGCCACTGATGTGTTTCTACCATGCTATGCCTGCTATTGCTTAGAGTTGTGTCAGGTCTGATTCATTGGAATGAATTGGAGTGTCACGATATGTGCTGATACTGAGAGTGAAGTGTGTGAACACGATTTGGTAAAGGTAGCGGTGAGAGGCCATGTAGGAGTACATGGTGGGTTGTCTCACTGGAACCGTCCTTAAGCCCTGAGTTCTGTGTATGTTGTCCAATGACTCGATACTACCACACATTGGGCTCCGGGCGCTCCAAGCCCTCTCGACTTATTAACCAACTTGATCTCTGTCCAGGAGTCGCAACTAGTTTCTGGTGTTTGTAGGTAGTGCTATTTTTCTACCAAGTGGCACCCGGCAGGGTGGGCTTGGGACAGACTAGGCACACGTGGCCCGGTGTACCGAGTGGCACCCGGTTGGTGGGCTCGGGAACCCTGTACACATCATTTGGGGCCGTAAGCGACACCCCGGCCGGATCTCCTTGCGGATGGAACCCGAATAGGCGATAAACCTGGACTAGAGTCTTGTGTGGTTAGTCAGGTCGTGGCCGACACCCTCGCCAGGCTTCCGCTTGAAGGTTGCCGAGATACATGACGTGTACATGGCGGTAAGTGGCGAGAGCGTGTGTGAAGAAGTACACCCCTGCAGGGTTAACATGATCTATTCGAATAGCCGGGTCCGCGGTTATGGACTTCTTGGATGCTTACATAGTACATAGACAACTTGAAGTGGATACTATAAAATGCTCAAGACAAGTGTGAGTGCTATGGATGGCCTTCTCGTAGGGAGACGGGGATGAATCCATAGTAGTGTATTGTGTGGTGATTAGTGGACTCGTGTACGTTGTTTCACCTCCAGAGTTTCTGGTAGTCGTAGAACAGGATAGCCACAGAGTCAAAGCTGGCTTGCTGCAACTAAACCCCACATTACCCTCTTGATACAAATGCATGTATGATAGGATCTGATGTAAGTCTTGTTGAGTACCTTGTACTCATGTTGCTTTATTTATGTTTTTGCAGCGGAGACTTCGGTCTTACTAGGGTTCTCATGGACTTCGACTAGTAGCTAGTACCTCAGCTACGATCTTGATCGGATGTTGTAGATAGTCAGGCTCTTCAGCCTTTTTCATTTGTAGATGTCTGTACCCAGACATGTAATGCTTCCGCTTGTTGCTTGTATGCTCTGTATGACGGGTCTTGTGACCCCTGTTTGCAATAATTGCTATGACGGCTCTTCTGAGCCTTTATCTATATAAGTTGTTGAGTTATGCTGTGATGCCATGTTGTACAACACATACTTGCATGTTATGCGTACGTGTAATGTGTATTGCTATGTGTGGGATCTGACTATCTAGTTGTTTATTCTTAGTAGCCTCTCTTACCGGGAAATGTCTCCTAGTGCTTCCACTGAGCCCTGGTAGCTTGCTACTGCTCCGGAACACTTAGGCTGGCCGGCATGTGTCCTTCGATCCTGTGTCTGTCCCTTCGGGGAAATGTCACGCGATGAATACCGGAGTCCTGCTAGCCCGCTACAGCCCGGTTCACCGGAGTCCTGTTAGCCCAGTGCTACAGCCTGGATTCACTCGCTGATGACCGACACGTTCGATGCTGGGTCATGAATGCCTGTCCCTGTAAGTTAGTGCCACTTTGGGTTTACGACTAGCCATGTCAGCCCGGGCTCTTTATCATATGGATGCTAGCGACACCATCACATACGTGTGCCAAAATGCGCAAACGGTCCCGGGCAAAGGTAAGGCGACACCCGTGGGGATACCGTGCGTGAGGCCGCAAAGCGATATGAGGTGTTACATGCTAGATCGATGTGGCATCGAGTCGGGGTCCTGACAATTTCCAAACGTTGGGAGTGTGTAGGTTGTGATTTTCTTTTGGAGACAATAGAGATCCACAGTATGATAGGCTAAGTGCAGAAGAATACGCAATCAGCAATTGAGAAGAACTGTTTAAACTAAAATATTAGGATGGACATAAAGTGCTGTAAGATGGATCAAGTGCAACAACAAACTCAATCATAGACAGCAATACAGAAACCTCAATGAAGATCAAGATAAAAGCTCACTCGGTCTCTTGGGAGCTAGGCACGCTGAATAAAAGCTCATCTCAACAGAAGAAATACGCCGCTCATCTCAACAGAAGAAATACGCGGTGACCATTCCAAAGAGGCAAGTTCAACTGGCAAATAAGTGGTCACAGGTTCTCCACTGCCTCTCCTTGTACATTGATCATCAGCTCTCTGCTTCTGTCTATTCCCTGTAGCTATCGAAGAACACCTATCCTCAAGATGTGACTCCTCGCAGTTGTCAATTCTGTATGTAGAGCAGCCATTTTGCTCAGACTTCTTCTCACCCTCGAAAGTAAAAAGGCCTCTATCTCTGCAAATTTTGCCCCATCATCACTAACCAAAGCTTCTTTGCATGACTGCAACACTGACGAGAACAGAGGGAAATTTCTCTGTGCTTACAAACCATCTTCTACAACATTGGCCCCAGTTACTTTGGTCTCTGAATCCTCCTGAGACATAAAAAAGGGTTTCACTGTAAGTAAGGATTGACATGTATGTATATACAAATTGTGCGAGGTTACAGATTCCAATAATACATGATGAGTTTATTTAGCATGCACAGAGGCAATGAATATAGCATGATATGTCACACAGTCGCACCATTGCCATCTCATAATGGTTAACATTACAAAATATTGTCTAAGACAGCATTTTCTGCACTTTACCGGAAAGAAGCCTCCAGCCTCAAATATTGTCAATGTGGCACTCTATATCTGTGTGCTATCATATATCCTACCTATGGTCTGCAATTGAACTCATGTACTATGAGATACGCAAACCAGACATGTTACTATATCTAGACTTAGAATCAATTCATCCCTCAGTAACAAAATCAACCACAGCTGACTGAAATAGCAAAATGTGAAGAGTCGATAACAGATTTTCACAACAATAGGCACCCAAATGCTGTATACTACTATAATCCAGGGACCTGATGTAGGAGGATTCAAGTTCAGGCTCACCTTGTTGCATACCAAAGAAGGTGGCCAGGCCATGATGTAGGGATGGAGAGGGCTGTCAAATGTACCCCGGAAGAGTTTGATAAGCTCCGCTGTTTCAAGGCAGAAGGATAGAAACCACTCAGGAGATTCAGTACTTGCGTGACAGTAACTAGACAGGTACACAAAGCCGTCGACAACTGCCAAACTGTTCACCACGACATGATCTTCTCCTGAACACTCGGTGAACTCAACAAACTTGTGCAACGGAAACCTCTTCTCCATCCATCTCTTGACACCGCCATCGTCGGCTCTCCAGAACCAAACAGCAAGCGTCCACTCCTTTGCACGGGAGTCGTCTGCGCAAACGATACAGAGCTCGCCGTCCTTGGTCTGACCAAGCCTGAAGTTTGTGGAGTGTTTCCCTTTTAGGGGCTGCGGCAAATCCATTTCAGAGAACTGCAATGTCGCAGTGTTGAGCACGAGCATGCAGGCTTGGGTCTTGCGCTTCCAATAGATGAATCCATTCACCAGGGTGCCAGTGTGAAACATGGGCTTGTCAACTCCACCATCCCCAGGCTGTGGCGTCGCGGTGTCCACCGCCGGCATAACCAGCCACCCCTTGCCCCTGTCGTCCGATGAGAAGACGGCGATGCGCGCCCGCGCCCGCCGCAGGGACCTGCCGTGGCGGACGCAGACCGCACGGAACGACCCCTGGCCCTCTTGGGAGAAGACGACGTGGATCTCGAGGGAGCGGGAGCGGGACATCTCATGGGGCAGTGGAGGGAGGAAATCCAGAGCCAGTGTGAGGGGGTTGTAGGCGGCAATCTGTTCGGTGCTCCGGTTGAGCAGGACGACGTAGCCGTCTTGGCAGCCCTGGATCTCCCACCCGGGAGAGGGGTCGTCGTTGTCCTCCGGGAGTCGGGTGAGGAAGAGATCGCCGCCGCGTATTGCGGCGGCGAGGTCCGGGTCGGACCGGCGGCGGAGGGGGACGAAAGAAGGGAGGGAACAGCTGTAGGACTCGATAAAGAGGCCAAGGAATGGGGATGGGTGGAGCGACCGGAATCCCCGGCGGAAGACGGGGGACGAACGGACAGCGTGGAGGAAGGTGCGGCAGGCAAGGGCGGCGCGGACGAGGCTCGGTAGGGAGGGGAGATGGAGGAAGATCTCGCGGAGAAGGTCGTCGCCTATAGAAGTGATGGTGCTGGGAGCAGGTGGGGCATATCTCGCCGTCGGCGGCCCTAGTTGGGAGGCCATGGCTGTCGAGTTCGAGCTCGGGCGGCGGCCGCCGGTTCTTGTTTTCGGAAGGAAACGGTTGGCACGTCCGTCCGCAAGGAAAGTGCGTCCGGCGTGGAGCAGACGCAGGAGTTCTCTAGGCCGACAGTGGCCGAATGTTACTACGGAAAAGTATAACTAGCGAATACCCGGGGATTAGATGATTTGTCACATTTTACAAGGGGTTTGATGATTTGTCTTAAACTTGTCTCAATGGTCAGTGGCCCCGGCCCTACCCGTCAATCTCGAAAGTGGGTTGATCAAAGTGAAAAATAGAGTGTGCGTTAAGATTTAATTTCTAACTAACGTGTGGTTGGATGGTTAGCAAGACAGTGGTATCCCCGTTCATCAGAGTTTAAGTCCTGATATTTTCGGCGATGTGCGTTTAGTGGGTGGAGACGTTTTCGTTAGTTGTCGACTACGAGACACATATGATGACTTTGTCAATCTCAAATAATATGCCGGCTTAGTCTCTCGAAGGTGCTCATAGCTAAAAAAACTAGTGGCGGGAGCTCTTCTCTGCAATGAACTGCCCATGAATCGTAAATTTTAAAAAGTTTGACTTGACACAAAGCTTATACACAGTTAACCGAGGGAGTACAAGGCAGTCATGGTGGACGGCTATTGTCCCGGCTATGGAACAACACTTCCTTTCCTTTTCCAGTTTTTTCTCCTTTCCTCTATTTTTTTGGTTTTATGAAAAAACACAAAATTAGTTGGCTGGGGCTGTTGAGTTGGCACTGCCTAGTCAGTAGTAATGTGGTAAAACAATTGACTGGGTCAAAATTGAGACGACGGTATGTTCACCGCTTTTGCAGTTCAGGGTTGAGTTTTAAACCATCACGTTGGTTTAGTGTTGTACTATGAACTTTTCTCTTTTTAGAAGAAAATGTTCCTCACGCCCGTAGGAAGTGAGCGCTTGTCCGATAGCTACTTAGATCATAGCCTCGGTCTGGGAGGTTGTTAAGAGCATAAATCTATATAAAGTTTCTTTTGAGGTATCAAACAACACTAAAGCATCGTAAGACCCTAGTACAAGAAAGGGGGAGAAAGCATGGGTAAGGCATGATTAAGGGGGGTTGCTTGCCTTTGATTGCAATAGCCTGGTATTGCAACGTATCCTTGGAACATTGTTGTGAGATGGATCACGAGCGTGCATGTAAGAAGCGTTGTTTTAGAAACCAGGAGCAAATCCGGCAACAAACAGAACAAACATAAGTAATAGCGCAATGCGCAAGCAAATGATGCATGCCATTTTAATGCCATGGTAATAAAGCTACAACTAGCCTATCCAATTTATGTGAAGTTGGAAAACATAAAGCAATCATTTTTGAAAGAACTTCACATGCATAATTTAAGTTCAAATGGATTTACTACATGACATTAGGTTTATAGTGTTTAAACATGCATGACAATGCTCTAGTTTGATTCTATGCATTTTCCTAGTCGATTTGGATACAAAGTTTGTAAGATTTGAAGTTGAAATGAATTAGTTTATCTTTCGATTAAGTGATATTTTATGAAATAATATAAAATATGAATATGAATATATCATGAACGTAACCAAAATTATAGGATATATTTGATACATATCTCTTCATTATGAGAAAATTTCACATTTCAACCATGAGCTAACCACACGGTTTGGTTTACAACACTGAACCCTGAAACTGCCTGAAATACACCTCCAACTAACCTCGAGGTTTAGAAGTCAACCCTGGTCTTGGTTTTGGGTCGGTCAACCAGTTTTGACTACAGTTAATGCTGACATGGCGCTGCCAACTCAGCCTAGGGCATGCGTGATTACGCAAGAATGGTAGTGGCTAATTGTTAATAATTATGACCAGGTCTATGGATTTAGGAAAAAAAGTCCTCAAACCAAAGTTTCTTTTTACAATCGGGTCCCTGTGGGGTGTTGCAGAGCACCAAACGGTGCATGTGCGTTGCTGCCCGACTTTTGCCACACCAGTACCGAACTACACGGTCCCACCACATGATCTGCACAGATGCTGGTGGTGGAGCTCCTCCTCCTCTGCTTGTCGTTGTGGCCGACACCAACGTCAGGGTGCAAAACTCGTCGTGGAGGCCTCGTTGGATCCAACGATGTTAGGGATTGTCTCTCTGTAATGGTTTTGGTGATTGATGACAATGTGTTTTGCGGACTAACCGTGTGCATTTAGCATTTCAGATATTCTTATATATGGCACACGACGGTTTTATTCCCCTCGGTGATAGAAAGAGCAAAGATGGTTTTCCGGTGTTTCTTTTCGGTTAACATGAGTCATAGAAATTCGTACTATTAAGAGAGGGTTCACTTTGGAAAGTTATGAGTGGAATCAACAAGTACACAAACCCACATGCACCCACTAATCCTTCCTGCAACATGGATGGTTCAACTCTTATTGCTTGGTCGGTTTTGCAGCATCCAGGCGGTAGTACCGCTCTGGTCTATGGTAGTGCCGCTTAGGCGGTACTTTTGCAGACCAGTGTGCCGCTCTTACTTCCGCTTGGAATCTTGGTTATGTGAGTCTTTGTTTTATAAGAATTAGTGGAACGGTAGTACCGTTTGCACGGTACTGCTGCTTGCTACTACCGCCGCTACTTTCGACTATATATGAGGTTATGTTGCCTTGTTCAACTTTAACGATACTTAGATGTGAGTTACATGGTAGTACCACTCTATGCGGTACTTCCGCTCTGGCGCTGCTTCAATACCATTGTTCCTCTGTGCTAGTGATCCAAAGCGGAAGTAGCGCTCGGATGGACGGCAGTATCGCTCCGGCGGCACTATCGTTCTAGTACTACTGTACTCAATACCTACAGCTGTGACTGCTGCTCTAGGAAGTAGTACCGCTCCCTTGAGTGGCGATACTGCTTGAGTGTGGGCTGAGAGCAATAACTGTTGGATTTTATGCCCCACTATATAAAGGGGGACTTCTTCCCCACAAAGACCTACCTCTTATCCCCTTGCTTCATTGTTGCCACCAAAAGCTCATTTTCACCGTTCTCTCTCCCTAGCCATCAAAACTTGTTGATTCTCTAGGGTTTGGAGGAGAGGGCATCGATCTACACTTGCACCAAGAGAAATTTGATTCCCCCACTAATCCCTTGTGGAACTTGCTACTCTTTGGTGTTTGGGCACCCTAGACGAAAGAGGTCACCTCGGAGCCACATTCCACTATGGTGAAACTTCGTGGTGGTGTTGGGAGCCTCTAATTGAGTTGTGAAGAGAGCCCCAACCTTGTTTGTAAAGATTTGGTCACCGCCTTCAAGGGCACCACTAGTGGAATCACGACATCTTGCATTATACAAGGGCATGAGGAGAATAGGTAGGACCTACTGGCTTCTTGGGGAGCATTATGCCTCTACATCGCTCGAACGGAGATGTACCTCCCCCTAAAGGGAGGAAACTTCGGTAACACATCCTCGTCTCGGTCGAATCCACTTGTGGTTGATATCTCCTTTTTGTTGATTCGGTATTGGAGGTAAAAAGAGTATCCCACACTTATTTCCCCATAGGTGACCCTGGGTTATCGAACCCACGAGAGGAAGATTCCCTTGAAGTGATGGTCTCTAGCAAGCTTTTGCTAAAGTGTCAAATCCAGCTTTTGACCGGATCAACAAGCAAATATTGATTCAAACACTTATAATAAAAAGAAGGTACAAGGATGAGGTCTTAATGCTGTGTTCGGATAAAAAATGATATTAGTTTGTGCTCGAGAAGCCACCCATCAAGATGTGCTTCCTTCATTTGGAATGGGGGATGTGTACAAATAACATCCTGACCGGCACGTGTCCTGCATCAAGAATCAATTGTCCTACTGAAGGCCCTATCCGTCTCACAGGGTTGTCTTGATAATTAAGATAATAATATCAGACACAAGCTTTGGCGTTCAATGACTACACCTCATGAATACCCAAAGGATATGATCCATGTTACCCTAATAAACCTTACTGTCATCGGTGTTCGGTATAACACTTCATGGTACCTTTGCTCCTAGCCTCACCAGTGCTCGATCTCCATGATCCTGGGTACCTATAGGGATGAATATCATGGACAAGACAAGAAATACTTCACGATGAAATTTTATTTTACACATATAAGACATTGTGTCAAAGGCTTCCATTGATCCCTTCACCAAATACCTGGGGCTCCAAGTGAAGGAAATATGCTCTAGAGGCAATAATAAAGTTATTATTTATTTCCTCATATCATGACAAATGTTTATTATTCATGCTAGAATTGTATTAACCGCAAACTTAATACATGTGTGAATACATAGACAAACATATTGTCACTAGTATGCCTCTACTTGACTAGCTCATTGATCAAAGATGGTTGAGTTTCCTAGCCATAGACATGAGTTGTCATTTGATTAACGGGATCACATCATTAGTAGAATGATGTGATTGACTTGACCCATTTTGTTAGCTTAGCACTTGATCATTTTAGTTTACTGCTATTGCTTTCTTCATGACTTATACATGTTCCTGTGACTATGAGATTATGCAACTTCCGATTACCGGAGGAACACTTTATGTGCTACCAAACATCACAACGTAACTGGGTGATTACAAAGGTGCTCTACAGGTGTCTCCGATGGTACTTGTTGAGTTGGCATAGATCAAGAATAGGATTTGTCACTCCAATTGTCGGAGAGGTATCTTTGGGCCCTCTCATTAATGCACATCACTATAAGCCTTGCAAGCAATGCAACTAATGAGCTAGTTGCGGGATGATGCATTGCAGAACGAGTAAAGAGACTTGCCCGTAACGAGATTGAGCTAGGTATTGAGATACCAACGATCGAATCTCGGGCAAGTAACATACCGATGACAAAGGGAACAATGTATGTTGTTATGCGGTTTGACCGATAAAGATCTTCATAGAATATGTAGGAACCAATATGAGCATCTAGGTTCCGTTATTCTTTATTGACTGGAAACGTGTCTCGGTCATGTCTACATAGTTCTCGAACCCA